AATTTCATACTTTTGGTGTCATTATGATCTGGAAAAGATTCTCTATCATTAAAGAAAAAATATTTTTTTTTTTTTTTTGAAATTTGGGTGACCCTGAGAACAAGTCTGGGAGAGAGCCTGGCGACCCTGAAAGGGTTAACCCTTTGACTGTTGCAGGCCCCTTTCTGAAACTGTCATTCTATGTCGCAAAATATTCGGAAAAAAAAAAAATTCTTACCAAAATGTTAGGATTATTTTACCGAGTGTTTTAAGCCTAAAAAAATTTTTTTGCCATCAGTACTTACTGAGATACAGAGGTGCAAAGTTGGCAGAAAATGAGTGGCGTATGGCAACAGCAGCGAATGCTGCCCACCTGGTATTCTTTTATTTACTCCAATTCGAAGGTTTCTTGTATTTTCCAATATTTTTCTTTTTTAAGTAACTTATGTGGCCTGTGAGACCAAAGTAAGGTGCATTGTTCAAATATACACTCATTGTTTACAACACAATAACTGAATGAACATTATCACTATTAGGTTGTATACAAAACTTGTTCACACAAACAAACAATACAAAACATTGTTTATTACTATTGTTCCATAATATATATACATATGTACAGTCACTGAACACTTTCCTAGAACTGCTGCAGCTTGTGGAACTCTTTGAAACATGGGTATATGCAGAGTGGCACTTGACACTCCTCACACATAAAACGAGTGTCTGCGTGTTTGTGGGCGTTTTGTGGTATGTCCACATACAAAACACCTCTTCTGATCACTTTTCTTGAAAGCAGTAGGAGGCAGTTGTATGGGTAGTGATCACCAGGCCTCAAACGAGATGGCTTGTGTTGGTAATTTCATGGGCGCTGGTCTATTGCAGGTGTTGCTCCTTGGTACTTGGCGATTATTTGTCTGATGACTGACAAACAAAATTCACCATATTTTGGTTTGTTTTTGGTCCTCAACTTGTATATGTTATAAGCATTTAGCATGGAAATATTAAGAAGATGGAAAAAAAGTTTCATATACCACTTATAACTCTTGCATGCACAATCAGCAAACCCAATCTGCATGTCACATTTGTCCACTAAGCACATATTGAGGTTGTAGTCCATGACAGCTGCAGGTTTTAGAATGGGTTCATTGGTCTCTCTATTGTGCCTGCCAGTGTGTGCCATTTTGTTTCGGTGAACTGATGTCAACAATGTGACATCACGTTTGTCATGCCACCGAAATGCCTTGATGTCATTGGCAGCAAAGGCCTGCACCTCACCTCTGCGAGTGCCAGCGTCGAACCTTGGCATATGTTTACGATTACCTCGCACTGTGCCACACATGTCTGTCAGGTTCGCTCGCAAGAAATCACTGAGTATGGGGCTTTAGTACCAGTTATCAGTATATAATATATTCCCCTTACTAAGATATGGTTCCATCATTGTTCTAGCCACATCACCAGAGATACCCAATAACTTCCTGGTATCTCTCAATGTATTACTGCCAGTGTACATAATGATATCCAAAATGAGACCACATTTTGCAATCACACAGTACAAGTAACTTTATACCTTGCTTGGTATGTATTGCTTGAATGAGAGTTCCTTTGAATAAAATCAAAGACATGCAACACTTTTATTTCAGGTACATAAACACATTTCTGATCTTATATAACCTATCGCTTCTGTCCGGCCTTGTTTTGTCTGAAAAGTGTAACATACGTAACAGTATCAGAAAACGATTCACACCTATGATTCACACCTATAATGTCACTAAAACCTGGGGTTGAAATCAGGCATTCTGTTGCCCAGTATGTGGTGAGTGTGCTTATACACATGTGGCATAAGCATTATTATGGCAAGAAACAGGTACATCTCTGCCACAGTTGTGTCCTTCCACTGGTGTAGCCGTGATCTTGGTGAGAGAATTGTATTTGCCATGGTGTACTCATAGTATGTGTTGGTTTCCCTAACAATAATGTCCATCAGGGGTTCATCGAAGAATAACTGAAAGCATTTCAGTTCAGTAGCATTGTTTCCAAGTGTACATGATGACCGTATTCCACTCTGTGTTTCATCAAAGTCATGGGGACTGGGAACAAACTCGTCACCTTCCTGCCAATCCCAGATGCAGTCTGCTGGTGGGTTCTGGATATTGAAATGTGGTTGTGGTTGTGCAGGTTGTGGGAGTGTGGGGTTGGGTGAGGCTGGTTGTAGTTGTGCAGAGTCAGCAGCGTCGGTAGTAGCGTGGCCCGCTGCTGGTGCCACATGACTCATGCCACCATCACTATCACCACCACCACCTGCTGCCTCACTCACATCATTCATACCCATCGTAACAATATCGTCATCTTCACTATCAGGTCGTGGTGTAGGGCCATGGGATATGCTCCAAGATTTACTCCTTCCCCTTGGAATATCATGTGACACACTACCAGACCTCATGCTACGTCGTACATACTGCTGCTTCACTGGGGAATATTCACCCTCACTGTCGCAACTAGAACTGCTTTCAATAGCTTTGAAATCACTATCACTATCACTTTCACTGCTCACATCTGAGCCTTGTACACGGGCAAATAGTTTCCTCTTTCGTCCTGGTACAGGTGAACATGAACGAGCCCGCCCAGCACCAGAGGTGGAAGGTCGTGGGTCATCTGGGTTTTCATCACTAATTACGTTATCCTGGGCACTGTTTTCGGTCACACCCACTTGAAAACCATGGAATTCACTTTCACTGACACTTTCATCGCTGTTAGAGCTATCACTTGGGAACAAAAGACCTCCAATCTGCCGAGGAGTGAGGTATTTCTTACTGCGAGGCATGGTGAAAATGGACTACCAAGATGGCATCCCACAGTTCACCACTGAGTCCCAGATTTTTTTCACAGGGTGCACACCCACCACTCAGACCCATTCTCTCTCATGTAGGCCTACCAGCTTTCTCCTGCGTGATTTGAAGCTGCTAGAATTTACACGTATAAATATGTCAGAAACAGTGGCGCGTAAGACGTATATATACGACCGAAACAGTCAAAGGGTTAATATAGGATTTTTCTGTAGCATGCTGTATCATTATACAGTAGGGCTCCATTTACATGGCAGTTTACGTTCTAGGCTACTGCTGGAAAGAAGACATCGCCAGAAAGCAGAACGTCATTTTATTCCACTTATAAATGCATATAAATGCCAGATAGCAGTTTACACTAACATATACTAAGTTAGCAGTAGAACTAGGCATAAAAAACAATAAAAAGTAAAATATATTCACAGTATACTCATTATTTACCTCAAAATATTTGAAGTCTTAATGTAGGGCAAAAGGTGAATAGTATTTACTGTAAGAAATTAGCTGTGGTAGCCCTCCAGGCCACCCCACCCACACATAATATACTACGATACTTAAAGTGCCCTAGAGTGATAAAATGCATATACAGTACACTCATTACTTGCCTTAAAATATTTGTAGTCTTAATGGTCTTAATGTAGGGTGAGAGGTGAAAAGTACACCTACCATCCGACTTACGACCGAGTTCGGTTCCGAGAAACCAGTCATAAGTCGAAATGGTTATAAGTCAAACTTTACTACTGAATATCAACATAACATTTTTGTAATGACTTTATTTTATTGTTTTATTTTGGTATTTCATGTTTTACTTTACTTTTTATGCTGTTAGTACTGTATTTTATACTGTAAGGTTTAGGATAAACACTGTGTACAACACAAATAGTTGTTTATTTCCCAGAAATTTTGCATAAAAAACACGGTCGTAAGTCGAGTGGTCGTAAGTCGAGCAGGTCGTAAGTCAGATGGTAGGTGTATTTACCTGGCGGATCGTCACCTGACATGTTTCAAGTAGCTATAATTTGCTTTAGAAACATTGTATTATGATGGGGTTTTCACCAAAATGTTCCCAGATACTTACACTATTTTTCTGTAAACAAAACCTAAAATCATATTTTTTGCATAATTATCATGACTGTGTCAGAAACTCGGAGTATAGGCCCCTCAAAGCCTGCCACTACTGTATCCAGTAAGCCAACGTAATGTTGTAAATGCTTCATAGTCATTTAAGCAATGCTCACTGGATTTTCATCAGGAATAGATTTCATCTCAAGAAGTAACCTTTTTCTCCATGGGGAAGTGGAACAGAATTCTTTGTCCATAAAGCATGCGTGTCGTAAGAGGCAATTAAAATGCACGGACCAAGGGACTAGTAACCCCTTATTCTGTATACATTACTAAAGTTATGAAGAGAAACTTTTGTTTTTCTTTTTGGGCCACCCTACCTCGGTGGGATATGGCTGGTTTGTTGAAAGAAGAAAGAAGTAATCTTTTTTCTTTGTCTACCAAAAGCATCATTTCTAGCTTTTGATATAGGGGCCATTGTACTATAATTAATAATTACAGTAATAACACAAGTAAAAAGTTTGAAAATTTTAGAAAATTGCCAGAATATGACATTGAGACAGGAAGTGCACAAATGTTTAAAACAGGCAGAACGTGGGTAACAAAATGGCATTGGTCAGCTGATGTTTGCATCACTGCTGAAAATAATAAATATGAGCATAATTGAAAAGCACTGTATTAGTGAAGCGCTCTAAAGCAAAGCACCGTATTAGCAAGGTATGCCTATACACTAAGTCCTCACTTAACGTCGTCGATAGGTTCTTGGAAACTGTGACTTTAAGCGAAACGACATATAACGAAATCAATTTTACCATAGGCTAATGATATAAACATCAGGGGTGCACAGTGTACTTTTAGCACTCATTGCAACTTCACACAGACTGGCCCCGGCCGGGAATTGATTTTTTTTTTCATCGTTATGATGAAATGATGAACAAAATGATGTTAGGAGAGGACTTACTGTATATACCATATTCAGCTTAGTGAGTTTTTAACAACATTGAAGGATGAAGGCTATATAATTATTTTATATCTTATGAGTTTGTGAAAGGTACACAGTAAATCCGAATACTTTATTTTGCCCATGATGATAAAGGAATATTCAATTTTTTTTAGAACTGTATGAGGGCTTGAAAAGAGCTCAAAGAAGTCGCCTTGATGATCAGCGAGGAACAGAAATAAACTTCGAACTTCCAGATTTTCTCAAGTGTGACCAGCCTCAGGTATGTAAAACTTATAGCCTATATGGCAAAAGGTGCCTGTATTATTAATGTAGAGCTTGTACATTGTGTATAAAATTTGTGCAAAATGGGATACTGTACTGTACTTACATGTGTTGGAACATCAGATAGTCTTACCTATTTCAAATCTCTCTGCTTTTTAGTATCATTTCATTATTATACTTGTATATTTTTTTGTGAGTCACAGTATAGTGTAGTATCAATCTTCCTTGACTTATCTAAATTTTTTGAGGGAAACTACTATTACATATTTTGGGTATACAGTAGGGCCCCACTTATATGGCAGGTTAGGTTCTAGGCTACCGCCAGAAAGCGGTCGTCGCTATAAAGGAGAACACCATTTTTTCTACTCATAAATGCTAGATAACAAGTTTACACTAACATATAAGTTAATAGTAGAACTAGGCATTAAAAAACAATAAAAAGTAAAATACACACACAGTATACTCATTACTTCAGAATATTTGTAGTCTTAATGTAGGGTGAGAGGTGAGTAGTATTTATTGTAAGAAGTCAGGTGTGGTAGGTATGGTAGTCCTCCTGGCCAACCCACTCACACTTAATATGCTACAACATTTAGAGCACCCCAGAGTGATAAAATCCATATACAGTACACTCATTATTTACCTTAAAATATTTGTAGTCTTAATGGTCTTAATGTAGGGTGAGAGGTGAATAGTATTTGTAGAAAGTCAGGTGTGGCAGATATCGTGGCCTACCTGGCCACCCCACCTACTACGACATTTAAAGTGCTCTAGAGTGATAAAATTCATGTACAATACACTCATTATTTACCTTAAAATATCTGTAGTCTTAATGTAGGGTGAGAGGTGAGTAGTATTTATTGTAAGAAGTCAGGTGTGGGAGGTATGGTAGCCCATCTGGCCATCCCACCTATTTGTAATATACAGGTGGCCCTCCACATTCGCGAGTTCCACTTTCACGAGCTTCAAATATTCATGAATGCCCAGCGACCCAATCATATTCATGCTTCCTGCTGCATCCCTACTACCCTCCCTGTTACCCCTTCAGCCGACAGCCAGCCCGCCAATCCGCCACTCACTCAGTCATTGTCCAGTTACTCTTCACGTTGGTCTGTGCTGTTTGTGTGTCCTACCGTACACGTGTGTTTGTGTGGTGGTGCAAGTATGGCCCCCAAACAAGCAGCAACCTTTGTTGATGAGCCAACCCCTAAGTGCTCAAAGAAAGTCATGAATGTGGAGGAGAAGGTGAAATTGCTAGAAAAGTGTAGGGCAGGTTATTTGAGCAGTTCTGCCATTGGAAAATTATTTAATGTAAACGAAAGCACAGTGCACTTTATCAAGAAAAATGAGGCAAAGATAAGGGCAGCACTAGCATCTACTGCTCCTCCCTCAGCTAAGCAATTGTCACAAGTAAGAAACAGTGCGCTGGCTAAGATGGAATCAGCATTATTTGTGTGGATTTAAGACCAAAATAGAAAAGGAAATCCCTTGGACAGCAATGCACTTCGTGCAAAGAGAAAGACTTTGTATGATATGTTGGTTTATGATGAGGCTAGCACCAGTGCAGAACCAGAACGTCCTACCATCACCTATCCTGACTTCCTAGCAAGTAAAGGATGGTTTGATAAGTTTAAGAGACTGTTCTTCACAAGGAAGTCTTCCACTACTCCTATTGCTAACTCTGACTCTAGCAATGTTGATGATCAACCACCTATTATTAGCAGTGACACTGGCAGTGAAGAGTTAGAATCCACACACTAGACTTATCATGCCATGCAGTTACACTCCATATAATCACTTCCATTCAACTGTCATCAGTAACTGCATGGCTATCATCACCATCATCATCATTTTCATTGTCATCATCATCACAAGTCATCAGAGTTCGTCCGCCTAACCTTATGAGTGGTAAGTGTTTTGTTTGTATATTACATTTGTTATTAAACCATAACATGTATATATATACAATACATGTATTTTATGATGTTTTCATGTGTTTTATGATTTTTCATGGTTCAATAGGTTAAGGAAGCAGTATTGTTAGGCTAAGTAAATGCTCTTTTTATGTTTCCCTACAATATATTTATGCACCAAACTTTCGTGAATTTTCAACATTTGCGAGGTTCTTGATCCCTAACGCTTGTGAATGTGGAGGGCACCTGTATTACAACATTTAAAGTGCCCTAGAGCGATAAAATGAATATGTATATGCAGTACACTCAATACTTACCTTAAAATATTTATAGTCTTAATGTAGGGTGAGAGGCGAGTAAACGATATAAAAACAAATGAACGAGAGAGATGAACGAGTAAATGAGAGAGGACAGAGCTACAGAGTATGTAAACAAGCAGATAAACGTGTCTGGTTTTAGTTGCTACACGTTCATTCTCATGTCTGTGAATCTTATACCATAATACAAACACCGTACATTCTGTACAAGTTGTCTCCATGTTAGTAAAGTAGAATAAATGAAGAGCAACACTCCCATTCTCATGTAACACACGTTTTTTAGAAGGAATAACACTGAGTGAAGGCATACAAAAGGAATAATTTTCTACAGTTACCCCCAGTAATGCTATTGTGTACACATTTTCTTTGGTGTTGAATTAGAGAAAACATTATTCTTTCTGACATTTTGACAAAACAACTGGAAAAACTTCTCATATTTATGGTAATTTATTCTACTTTGGGTGTATTTATCATGTTTATGTGTTATGTAGTGTGTTTATTACATAATTTTGAAAAAATATCATAGATAGATTAATCAAAATGTCTATATTAACGTAATATATGATGTTTATTGCGCCTCAGAGTGATTATTATTTTGTTATTAATATGGCATCTTCAAGACTAATAAGACACTCTTAGTGATTTTAACATGTACCTGCACACCAACAGAGTGTGTAAGTTTATTTAGGTACAGGTACACATAAGTATAATTATCAGAGTATATAAAATGTGAAATATCTTTAAAACATTTAGTTTTGGAAAGTTTCCAGACATAATGGAGAGTCGTGCTCACAGAGAATGTAAACAAACTGGGTGGCCCATGGTGATCGTGTTAGAAAGTCGGGTGGGAGGGAGCCATATAGAGAGTTTTGGTCATAATTTAAAATGTCCATATTAGCAGAACACTGTAAGGTAAAATGCCGTAAAGTGGGGCTCTACTGTACAGTATTAAGAAAGCTAAAAGGCAAATAGCATAATTCGCTGAACAGAAGGTTTGAACCCATGGCAAGCCAATCTTAAAACTAGTATGGACCCCATGCCACAGCCATGCTGCTGAGAGATTCATCCTTAATAACTTTGTATTTGTGGTCACAATGGAGCCCACATTAACCTTCCTGTTGCGTACAGAAACACACAGTTTGGGAAATCTTATTAAGCTGGCAATGCACTCCATGATTATAATAATTATTAAGCTGGCTTGGTTCACTGAGCAGTATACTGGCCTGCTAGTTTCAGGAGTGTCTTTCAGTGTGTTCAAACTCTCCATTCAGTTTACAACTGTCATTATGAATTCCCAAGTCATGCATATAACAGTTAACCCTTTGAAGGTCCGTCCTGTAGTTCTATGGCTTTGAAGCCAGGATCCAAGCTGTAGCACTATGTCTTGAGCCGAGCTCACTCAGATAAACTGTGAGTGGTAAATTTGCGGTGTATTTACGTATGGTTTTTATGGTTGTATTCGTGGTTTCTTGGTCTCATTTGATAGAATGGAAGATATTTTATAGAAATAGAGATGATTTTGGTTGGTTTTAGTACTGAAAATAGCTTGAAATTGAGCTCAAACTAGCGGAAATGTTTAATATTTCCTGATGTTCAGGAGTAAACAAATCACGTCACGCGTCCAATACACGTCAACTGGTGGGTCTGATGTATGTTCATGAATGCACTGATATTATTAACCCTTTGAAGGTCTGTCCTGTAGTTCTATGGCTTTGAAGCCAGGGTCCAAGCTGTAATACTTTGTCTTGAGCTCAGCTCACTCAGATAAGCTGTGAGTGGTAAATTTGGGCCTAGATATGAGAGAATGCATCTATGTGGTAAGTGTGCACCATATAAAACAAATCCTGCAACACACAGTGCATAATGAGGAAAAAAACTGAGACCATGTTTTTGGATTAAAACAGCGACTTTGCGGTGTATTTTCATATGGTTTTTATGGTTGTATTTGCGGTTTCTGGGTCTCATTTGATAGAATGGAAGATATTTAATAGAAATAGAGATGATTTTGGTTGGTTTTAGTACTGAAAATAGCTTGAAATTGAGCTCAAACTAGCGGAAATGTTTAATATTTGCTGATGTTCAGGAGTAAACAAGTAACGACACGCGTCCAATACATGTCAACTGGTGGGTCTCATGTATGTTCACGAATGCGCTGATATTATTTATACAATTATTACAATACATATTGCATAACAGTAAATCTTCTATTTTTTGGTGAATAAATATTTTTTATGTGAATAAAAAAATAAACATAGAATTCATCTGTAAGGCCTGGAAATGTAACTGATAAACAGAGGAAATGTTATTTTAGTGCTAGGAATGCCCACATTGTTTATTCTGAACCCTGTTTTGAAATTGGAATTTTTTGAACTTTGTGTGAAATTGGCCAAATTACCAATTTCTGATCACTTTATTGAGTAGTTGATTGGGCAGTTTCTTGTGCTCAGTCGATATAAGAGGTGATGCTAGTGCAATAGCTAAGAATTGGGTTGACTGGAATAATGTAGTAATTGGCCTAAAATAAAGTGTGGGAAAAATCAGAGATGCGTAAATATCGCTGATGCAGCAAAATTCACAGTGGCGTAATTTTGTCAGTTCTCCATCAGATTTCGTACTTTTTGTTTTATTACCTTCAGAAAAAGATTCTCTACCATTTCATAAGAAAAAATAATTTTTTTTTAAATTCTTGGTCCCTGTGGGCAAGCCATAGAACTATGGAGTGGACCCTCAAAGGGTCAATTGCATTGAATCATTGTCATTCAACATGTAATTAAAGATATATTTAGCACTATTTATTATTTTAGTATTTTTGCTCTGTTGTTGCAGGTCAGGTGCAGCACAATATAAATTTTCAAGAATCTTTTCCATAAAGGTACTTCCACAAGGCGTGTCTAATTATTTTATAGTTTTGAGTGGTTTACTGTCTTGTCACAGCTATGTGTTTTTGTAGCAGTTTGTGTTGTATTTCAAGTACTATAGGTAGTAGTTTAGAATTATTGTCCACTCAGGTCATGAATTATAAGTATAGTAAAACCTTGATATAACTAACTTTGGAAAGGCAGGACAAAATCTGCACAATCACTTGATTTGAAAGTAGTAGACAAGTCCATTGGTTACAGAGTTGTCTGCTACAATCACCATTACTGCCCACCTGCTTCTTCCTACAAGTCTTAAATTGATGATTTACTGTACTGAAGAGGGCTTAGAATTTTATTTTTAATTATTACTGTTATGTATATACATGTGTCCCAGAAACATAATGCATGTTAGTTTGCAAAACAAACCTAAAATTATATATATTTTTGCAATTACATAAGAACGTAAGAATGGAGGAACATGGCAGGCGGCCTACTGGCACATACAAGGCAGGTCCTTATCAGAACCACCCCTACCCAAAACTACCCAAGAATTTACTCCCATACCCACAACACCAATCAAACTCAGTCCCTCCCTGTAGTTCTTATGATATAACTGTCTCAAAATTATTTTGTGCTGAGTAAACGCGTGGTACAATAGTTGCAACCTGTATTAACCTAATAAATACACTGGATGATTAAAATTATAAATTTAATTGTAAATAAAGCATGCTTTAAACTTTTATTATTACAAGGTATGGGCATTTTTTTTTTTACTTAAACTGATGCTTTTTTTTTTTTTTTTCAAGCTGTAGGTAACTGCCACTGATTTCATTATTTCATTAGATAATGCAATAGTTTATTACAATTTTAATATTTACCCAGTGTATATGCAGACAAAAGACAACTGCTTCACTAATTTTAATGACACTAAAATCAACATTCATTGTTTTTTAGTATGAGTTTATAGTTTTAGAATGAACAGTTTGATGTGTTTGATTTTTTTGTGCATGTATATTCTGGCTTTACATGTGGGACATGGCCTGTTACAGTATATGTTTTGGTTATGTTTAAACAAGTGAAGACAAGCACACATTCCTAGGAATGTTTTGTAGTTAGTTTTCTGGTATACTCACAAAATATTCATCTCTCTTGCCTGTATCTATACTTGTATTGCATGTTGTATGTTATGTCTTTTCAGGTTACTAACACAAATCTCTAACACTTTGGTGTGCCTTGGGATTTTCTCTCAGGCATTTCTTGAGTCAGGTGGGTAATGTGCTGATTTTTTATCTTAATTGTTGCTTTACTAAGACAGGTATGTCTGCAAAATAGTTTTTATTAATTTAAGACGGTTATTTTTGTGAAAGTCATAATTCATTATTTTTAGTTGTTAGTTTTAATTGCTAAAAATATGAATTATTCCTCACCTCATGAAAATGGGAAGCTGGGAAAATTATGATGATGCATTGTTGAATAACATGAGCAATAATATATATATTCTGTATTGAGTTGATGCAGAAATAAAATATTGTTATATTAAATTTTATTTGGGAAAGATGCTAAATTAAAACAATGACATTTAATAATACACTATATGTTGCACTCACTTTTTCATGCTGTACTAAATCTATTTTTAAATTTTAAATCATTGGCAAGTGAGAAGGTGAAAGTCAGGTCATGTCACAAGTGGTCTGACTATTAAGAGCATTTGAGATTAATGTTAGGTATGTTTTGTATAAGAGTCACTTCAGCAATATAAGTGTGAAGGCTTAAAGAGGGTTTAGTAGCTGTAACAGAACTAGCTTATAGGACTGCTACAATCTCTAATATTACAGAACAGTATTGGAAAGGCAAATGCTTTTGTGTTCTTTAAGTATTAGAAGAGGAATGAAAAGAATTGCCAATGTATTGAATTTGTAATTTATTTGATCCTTAAAGCCTACGTGGGTCATTCAGATTAAGGCTCGATCCTCCACGAAACAGACATGCTGCTACTCAACAGTGTATTGGAGAGGGTAGGAACAGTAAATGAAGTTAACTGAGGAAGAGGTTATGACCCTTGTAGGTTTAGTGCTTCTTTTTTATTATTATAATCAGGAAGAGGTATGAACCATAGTTTTCATTGGTTAGAAAGGCCAAGTTTTTCACAAGAGCGGTTTTAGGAGAGAAGAAAATTCACGTGGAAGTAGGCAGAGTTTATGAAAATGGGAGGAACTGCAAAGAATGGAAACTTCAAAGTTAAGAAACTGAGCAACAAGAACACTTGACAGATAGTGCATGGTAAGAAAAGTAGTGAAATGTTCCTGGCTTGATAGAAAAAATAAGAACCTGTCACAGTTCAATGGACATTAACATTTAATCAAGAATGTCTCAAGTTAGATTATCGTTCAGCTTTTTAGACAGAGCTAGGTTATTAAGGGCAATGAGAAAGGGATGTAGGAGACTAGTCAGATGGTTATATAGATGACAATTTTGCCCTCTGGCCACATGGCTATTTCTGTCTTGTTAGAACATAAGCATGGTAATAACTGTGGAGGGACTCAAATGAAATTGGCTAGCAGTGTTTGAGGTACAGAGCTCATACTTTGAAAGTGAAGTGGAGCAGAGCTAATGTTTGATTGATTAACAATGGAGCATATTTTTTTTCTGAAAATGCAGCTAGGAATGACTATTTTTTTAAGGTAGTCGGAAAATGGCAGTTAAAAAAATTGCATTAATAATTTGGCTGCTTGGTTATGCCCCAGACAGTTACTCATTTTTTTTTTATGCAGTACTGTTACTTTCATTGTTAATTTTTTTTATTTTATATTCACAGGATAAAGAAAACCAACATGCTCACCTAGCTGACCAGTTGTTGGCTCACCTGGAGTGTTCCTTCTCTGATGGTGTGGTGATCCCTACTCATCAAGAAGCTGAAGACTATTTTAGCATGGCTCATCCTGAAGTTTGGGGAGGAATACCCTCAAGCACAGGGCCTCATTCTGCTAATGCTACTCTCTTGGCACCTGATTTAGATCTGGATGATTTTGAAGACACTCTACGAGGTGATGAATCTCTCTGCCAGGTGCCCTTACCTGATACAGCCCCGCCCTCCTTACATGTAGATCCAACAGACTTTTCCCTTCCTCCACCACCAATACCCATGGAAAACTCTTCAGTACCAGCTGTGTCAAGGATGGCTTTAACAGCTCTACCATTATCGCCACCACCTCTACCTCCCAAACCCAAGCTTGGGGGCATTAGAGGCCCTCCTCCACGCCCCCCCTCAAGGCAGTTACACCTCTTGAATCCACCCACCTTTACCTCCACAAGTGATGATGATGCTTTGCATTCATCAGAGCCACCTATTCATATCACTAGACAAAGTCATGACAAATTTAATATCAGTTTTGTTTAGTAAAGACAATGTGTGTAAAGCATTTTTTTTTTTTTCAGAGTTATCTCGTGTACCGACTTTTTGTGACACAACACGTGAAAATTTATAATTTTGGAGCCTAAACTTAAATTATTGTGTAATATAATATAGCTTAAGCCTGTCCAACCTGTCTTAGGTTATTCTAAATTTAATTAGCATTTTATATCAATGAAATGTATGAATTTACACTTAGCTTGTTTGCAGAAATGATCACTGCTTTATAACGAGATCACACACTGCCTAAAAAGCACGACGTATATATGACAGTACAGAACAGTTATTCCCTGCTTAGTGACAGATGCATTCCAAAAAAAATCAATGCTCAACAATTGTACACTAAGCAAATTGTATTTTCTTGTGAGCTCCCATTATTATTATAAATGCATTCCAGAAGAAATTAAAATACACATTTTTCCATTGGACTGAATTTTGATGGAAATGTCAAACACTAACATCCAGTAAACACTGACACGAGACACTAATAGTCATAAAAATACTATTTTATTTTTTCTTCATACCTTAGGCATCTGATGGTTCTTGGTTGTTTACAGTGCCTTAACAGAAATCCTCTTAGTGTGTCACTTTATGCAAGTAGTCAGCAAAGTCATAAGTGAAGATACTTTTTCCTAGACCCAATGAATTTAATGCTTTCCATGAAGATAATAAACCACAAATATGTGGGAAATTGTTTTCAGTGAGGAAGAGAATTTTGCTCTACATAAGCTTGGTGCCTGAGCCTCTAATCACGTTTGTAACCCCAAGTCAAATGTATCACCGTGAAACATACATTAATAATATGTAAGGTACAAATTTAGAGCATGTTTTTTAATAGAATATGAATATGGGGATTTTTTTCTTTTTGGGCCAGCTTGCCTCGGTGGGAGACAACTGATGTGTTAAAAAAAAAAGAAGATAGATACAATATAAAGTACTTATACAAATGATTTTGATGTAAATAAAACCTATCTAGTAAAAATGACTGCTCACCATAGTGGCCATAATATTCTGATATGCATAGGACAATTTTTTTTTCCTAACTTTCCTCATTACAATATTAATATAACCTGATAAGAATACAGTACTTTTTATAAAGTTAAACATAAATTTCAGTCATTGCTATATTCCTTGATGGTGGTTCCCTCTCTTTCACCCATATAGGAGGAGAGGGAATGGTTCTTGTTAATGTGGAGTTATTCTCTACTCTGTTCTCAGTCACTCAGCCAAATTAAGCTAACAAATACTATAATCACTAATCAGGGAATTACTGTATGTATACTGCATATACTTCTTAACCCTTTCACTGTCGAGACCCCTGCTCACAAACTTGCTGTAAAAAAAAAAATATTTTCTAACCAAAATCTTAAAAGTAATTTTCCGAGTGTTATAAAAAAAGAAAATTGTGATCAGTAGTTACCAAGATATAGAGGTGTGAAGTAGACAAAGTGAACTGCTGACGGCAACATAGCGACTGCTGTTCACTTACCTGGAGAGGGTTTCGGGGGTCAACGCCCCCACGGCCCAGTCCTCATGTGGATCAGGGTCTGATCAACCAGGCTGTTACTGCTGGCCAAACACAAGCTGACGTACGAACCACAGCCTGGTTGGTCAGTTACTGACTTTAGGTGCCTATCCAGTGCCTTCTTGAAGATAGCCAGGGGTCTATTGGTAATCCCCTTTATGTATGCTAGGAGGCAATTGAAGTCGTCTTGGGCCTCAGACACTTATTGTGTTGTCTCTCAGTGTAATATTATTTTTACTTTTATTCTATTTTTCTTCTTCCTAATGTTTTATTTTTTCAAGTAACTTTTGTGACCTGTGAGACCACAAAAGATGTGTGTATATATATATATATATATATATATAATATATATATATATATATATATACATGTGTATATATATGTATATATATATGTGGGGCAGAAGTTTGTGGTTATAGGAGGGTGGGGGCAGGAGGAAAGAGGAGTGATTGGTGGAATGATGAAGTAAAGGGTGTGATAAAAGAGAAAAAGGTAGCTTATGAGAGTTTTTACAAAGCAGAAGTGTTATAAGAAAGCAGAGTATATGGAGAGTAAAAGAAAGGTAAAGAGAGTGGTGAGAGAGTGCAAAAGGAGAGCAGATGATAGAGTGGGAGAGGCACTGTCAAGAAATTTTAATGAAAATAAGAAAAAATTTTGGAGCGAGTTAAACAAGTTAAGAAAGCCTAGGGAAAATATGGATTTGTCAGTTAAAAACAGAGTAGGGGAGTTAGTAGATGGGGAGATGGAGGTATTGGGTAGATGGCGAGAATATTTGAGGAACTTTTAAATGTTAAGGAAGAAACAGAGGCAGTAATTTCATGCACTGGTCAGGGAGGTATACCATCTTTTAGGAGTGAAGAAGAGCAGAATGTAAGTGTGGGGGAGGTACGTGAGGCATTACGTAAAATGAAAGGGGTAAAGCAGCTGGAACTGATGGGATCATGACAGAAATGTTAAAAGCAGGGGGGGATATAGTGTTGGAGTGGTTGGTACTTTTGTTTAATAAATGTATGAAAGAGGGGAAGGTACCTAGGGATTGGCAGAGAGCATGTATAGTCCCTTTATATAAAGGAAAGGGGACAAAAGAGACTGTAAAAATTACAGAGGAATAAGCTTACTGAGTATACCAGGAAAAGTGTACGGTAGGGTTATAATTGAAAGAATTAGAGGTAAGACAGAATGTAGGATTGCGGATGAGCAAGGAGGTTTTAGAGTGGGTAGGGGATGTGTAGATCAGGTGTTTACATTGAAGCATATATGTGAACAGTATTTAGATAAAAGATAGGGGTTTTTATTGCATTTATGGATTTAGAAAAGGCATATGATAGAGTGGATAGAGGAGCAATGTGGCAGATGTTGCAAGTATATGGAATAGGTGGTAAGTTATTAAATGCTGTAAAGAGTTTTTATGAGGATAGTGAGGCTCAGGTTAGGGTGTGTAGAAGAGAGGGAGACTACTTCCCGGTAAAAGTAGGTCTTAGACAGGGATGTGTAATGTCACCATGGTTGTTTAATATATTTATAGATGGGGTTGTAAAGGAAGTAAATGCTAGGGTGTTTGGGAGAGGGGTGGGATTAAATTATGGGGAATCAAATTCAAAATGGGAATTGACACAGTTACTTTTGCTGATGATACTGTGCTTATGGGAGATTCTAAAGAAAATTGCAAAGGTTAGTGGATGAGTTTGGGAATGTGTGTAAAGGTAGAAAGTTGAAAGTGAACATAGAAAAGAGTAAGGTGATGAGGGTGTCAAATGATTTAGATAAAGAAAAATTGGATATCAAATTGGGGAGGAGGAGTATGGAAGAAGTGAATGTTTTCAGATACTTGGGAGTTGACGTGTCGGCGGATGGATTTATGAAGGATGAGGTTAATCATAGAATTGATGAGGGAAAAAAGGTGAGTGGTGCGTTGAGGTATATGTGGAGTCAAAAAACGTTATCTATGGAGGCAAAGAGGGAATGTATGAAAGTATAGTAGTACCAACACTCTATATGGGTGTGAAGCTTGGGTGGTAAATGCAGCAGCAAGGAGACGGTTGGAGGCAGCGGAGATGTCCTGTCTAAGGGCAATGTGTGGTGTAAATATTATGCAAAAAAATCGGAGTGTGGAAATTAGGAGAAGGTGTGGAGTTAATAAAAGTATTAGTCAGAGGGCAGAAGAGGGGTTGTTGAGGTGGTTTGGTCATTTAGAGAGAATGGATCACAGTAGAATGACATGGAAAGCATATAAATCTATAGGGAAGGAAGGCGGGGTAGGGGTCGTCCTCGAAAGGGTTGGAGAGAGGGGGTAAAGGAGGTTTTGTGGGTAAGGGGCTTGGATTTCCAGCAAGCGTGCGTGAGCGTGTTAGATAGGAGTGAATGGAGACGAATGGTACTTGGGACCTGACGATCTGTTGGAGTGTGAGCAGGGTAATATTTAGTGAAGGGATTCAGGGAAACCGGTTATTTTCATATAGTCGGACTTGAGTCCTGGAAATGGGAAGTACAATGCCTGCACTTTAAAGGAGGGGTTTGGGATATTGGCAGTTTGGAGGGATATGTTGTGTATCTTTATATGTGTATGCTTCTAGACTGTTGTATTCTGAGCACCTCTGCAAAAACAGTGATAATGTGCGAGTGTGGTGAAAGTGTTGAATATGATGAAAGTATTTTCTTTTTGGGGATTTTCTTTCTTTTTTGGGTCACCCTGCCTCGGTGGGAGACGGCCGACTTGTTGAAAAAAAAAAAAAAAAAAAAAAAAAATAATAAAAATGTGTGTGTGTGTGTATATATAATTATATAATATATATAAACATTATATATATATATATACACTTGTATTATTATATAAAAACACATTTTATATATATATATACACATGTTATATAATATACACATTTATATATAATATACAGTGTATAATAAATAATATAATAATGTAATATAATATATATATATATATAATTAAATTATACATTGTATATATATATAATAAGTTATAAATAATAACATGGTATAATATATATATAACATGTGTATAAATATATATATACGTATATATATATAAACGTGTAAAAATATTTAAATACTGTAAATTATAACTTATATATATATATACTGAAAATAATATATATAATTTGTATATATAAATATAACACGGTATATATTATATACGTGATATAATATATATACGGTATATAATATATAAATACGTGAATATAATAACTTTGGTATATATATTATCATTTTTATATATAACATTTTTATATATATATACACAGGTATAAATATACCATGTTATAATATATACGTGTTATAAATATACTTTTTAAATATATACATGGGGTATAATATACATGTGATATATTAACATTGTATATATATAACATTGTAAATATATACATGTGAAAATAAAAATATATTAATTAAAATTATATACATTGTAAATATATAATAGGGTTTTTAAAAAATTAATATATATAATACTGTAATATATAATACAAATATATTATAACTTTATATAATTACGTGTATTATATATATATACTGTATAAATTTTTACTGTATATTAATATACTTTTGGTAATATATAATACAGGGGTTAAAATTTTAAACAGTTATATATATATACCATTTAATATAATACATGTGTATAAAAAATTACATGTGATAAATTAACAGTGTATATAATAACAGTGATATATATACAATTTGAAATATATAATATATCAGTGTAAATATATATATAAGGGGTTATATATATATAATATATATACTGTATATATATATATACGGATAATATATATACTGTAAAATATAAAATAAAAATATATACATGGTAAATAATATAACATGTTATATATTAACAGGGAATAATATATATACACTGTGTAATAATATACAGGTATAAAATAACATGTTATATATAATACTTGTAATATATACATTGTATAAATATAAAATATATTTTTAAATTATATATAAACTTGTAATATATTAAAAAACTTAAAAAAAACGGATTAATTAAATGGAAATGCAGCGCGAGGAGAGGGTTGGGGGCGTGGAGTTCCCTGTTTAAGGCAATGTGGGGTGAAATTTTATGCAAAAAATTCGGGTGGGGAAATTAGGAGAAGTGGGGAGTTAAAAAAATTAGTAAAGGGGGCAAGGAGGGGGTTGAGTGGTTGGCATTTAAGAAAGGATCAAAGTAGAATGACATGAAAGCATAAAATCTATAGGGAAGGGAAGGGGGGGGTAGGGGTCGTCCTCGAAAGGGTTGGAGAGAGGGGGGAAAGGAGGTTTTGTGGGAAGGGGGTTGGACTTCCCGCAAGCTGCTAGCGGTTTAAAATGGAATGAATGGGACGAATGTACTTGGGGCCTGACTCTTTGGAGTGTAGCAGGGTAATATTTATGAAGGATTCAGGGGAAAACCGTTATTTTTTATATAGTCGGACTTGAGTCCTGGAAAAGGGGAAATACAATGCCTGCACTTTAAAAGGGGGTTTGGGGTAGGCATTTTTAGGATATGTTTGTACTTTAATGGTATCTTCTAACTGTTGTTTTTCTGAGCACCTCTGCAAAAACAGTGATAATGTGCATGGGTGAAAGTTTGAAATATGAAAAGATTTTTTTTTGGGATTTTTTTTTTTTTTTTGGGGCACCCTGCCTCGTGGAGACGGCCCCACTTTTTTGAAAAAAAAAAAAAAAAAAAAAAAAATGTGTATAAATATATATAACAGTGTATAAAATTATTACACGGTATATATATATATACTGTATATATATTATAGTGAAATATTATTATACATGTGTATATAAAATTATACATTGTATATATTAACATGTGATATATAAACACATGTGTATTATATCACATGTTTAATAATACATGTGTATTATATATAAAAGTGTTATAAATTTTAAGTGATATAATATACATTTTTTAAATAAAAATTAATATTTTTTTTTTTTTTTTTTTTTTTTTCAACAAGTGGGCCCGTCCCCCCAGGCAGGGTACCAAAAAAAAAGAAAATCCCCAAAAAGAAAATACTTCATCATCATTCAACACTTTCACCACACTCGCACATTATCACTGTTTTTGCAGAGTTGCTCAGAATACAACAGTCTAGAAGCATACACATATAAGATACACAACATATCCCTCCAAACTGCCAATATCCCAAACCCCTCCTTTAAAGTGCAGGCATTGTACTTCCCATTTCCAGGACTCAAGTCCGACTATATGAAAATAACCGGTTTCCCTGAATCCCTTCACTTAAATATTACCTGCTCACACTCCAACAGATCGTCAGGGGCCCAAGTACCATTCGTCTCCATTCACTCCTATCTAACACGCTCAAAGCACGCTTGCTGGAAGTCCAAGCCCCTTACCCCCAAAACCTCCTTTACCCCCTCTCTCCAACCCTTTCGAGGACGACCCCACCCCGCCTTCCTTCCCCTATAGATTTATATGCTTTCCATGTCATTCTACTTTGATCCATTCTCTCTAAATGACCAAACCACCTC